ACCATACTTAAGGGGTAGCCCCATGCCCAGCAGTAGATGGCCAACACAAAATGAATTCAAAGATATTTTTGAAGACTTTCTGTCTTACATTGCTGTGTTTTGACATTTTGTTTTTGTCTTACTGTTTCTTTGGTTGTATATTGTAGTTTATGATTTTGTGGTTTTATAGGTTTTGTGTGTATGTACGTGTGTTTCTTGTATTTTTTAATCCCTGTTTGTTGTTTTTTTTTGTTTTGTCTGTTTGCCAAAGAGAGAGAGAGAAATAAAAAGTGTGGATTTGGGTGGTGGGGAGGATCTAAAAGCAGTTGAGGGAGGTGAAACTATGATCAATACATATTGTACCAAAAATTAATAAAAAAGAAAATTGCGTGAGAAATTTTGTAGCATATAATTGCTAGATTTTGAAGAAATTGGAGAGATTATCAAGAGGTAGTAATAATCATCCAATCTCTTGATTAGTTTTCTATTAAAAATACTAATGGAGGAAATGAAATGCATTTTTGTTGTGTTTCTGTGTATCTTGTTTTTAATAATAAGGATTTGGGAAAAATAAAAGGATTAGAAATGTGTAAGGAGATGATAGACTAGGTATTTTCAAAAATATAGTTGAGCCAGGCGGTGGTGGCGCACGCCTTTAATCCCAGCACTCGGGAGGCAGAGCCAGGCGGATCTCGGTGAGTTCAAGGCCAGCCTGGACTACCAAGTGAGTTCCAGGAAAGGTGCAAAGCTACACAGAGAAACCCTGTCTCGAAAAACCAAAATATATATATATTTGAAAGATGAAATGGGATAATAAACTTCTTAAACAAAATCTGGTCTTCTTGACAGTAGATGTTCAGAAAAAAATGATGAAGTTTGTAAAAGAAGAGAGAATTTATTTGAAGGGGGAAAAGTTGAATAATAAAGAGTTTCAAGAGCTGGTATTTCAGGGAAAGAAAGATGTGGCAAGAGGTTTGCTCCATTTTAAGGCAGCTAAAGATCACAAACACAGGATAAGATACAGGTGAATTTCAGTCTGTGCTCTCTGAGTAACTTGTCATGTGTCTGATGGGTCCCTGTGACACATCCTTTACTTACTGAACTTTGGGATTTTTTTTGATCATTAGGATTGAAGTGAAATTCCTCCCGCTAATCCTTTAGACCTACCTAAACTTATATTTAACCACCTGACTCCATTGTTCCGTGTTTCTTCTGACACCAAGAACAGAAAGAAAAGAAAGAAAACTGCACAGGCAAAATGATGTGCATATTTCAAGAGATAAAATACACATTTATATTATAAACACTCTATTTGTTGTTAAACATCCTTACATAGTGACTTTTCATATTTTTTCCAGATCACTGCCCTTTTTAATTCACTAAAATTTTCATTGTAAGTGGGAGAAAATTGTTTTCTTTGCCTCCAATCCAGTTAATGAGAAACAGCATGTATGGAACAAGAACATAAAACCCAAAGGTCCCAAAACTATGTTCTGTCCTTTGATAATTCTGAAAAGTATTTTCAAAAGTTCTGCTCTGTACAATTGCATCTACTGAATTAATAACAGACAATCACGCAATTATCTGCTCTTTAGAAAAATTACAATGCTCTAAAGTACATACAGGACAGACATTAATAGCACTTCATTTCATGGTTCTCAGACACAAACACTCATAAAATATTGCAGCGTTTGTAGAAAGGGAAGTTGTAGCAATTTGAAACGCAAAACTTGTAAGAAAAAAATATCACCTCTCTTCAAAGATTGGGGTACTGTTTAGAAGTTGTTTTACTTCGATTTTTATTGAAAGTTCCCAGATGCACTAATTTCACACTAATGTTAAACCAAGTTTATTTTATGGACAAACTCTGTAAAATGAAAAGGAAATGTACTATTTGAAAATAGACTTTTTGCTACAGATGCTCTGGGCAGGAACTCTTGAAATTCATTTTTACCTGTTAGGAAAGTTGAATTAAAAGTAATTAGAAGGAAATGTGAGAACATTTTTTTCCCACTAACAAAAGTTTTATTAAGACAAGGAGAAAATCATAAATGTGATCATGCCTGTTGAAAGGACATGTGTGTGAAAGAGTGTGAAAATCTTTAAAAGGAGCCATGTTTATGAAAATTTGGCATAAAAGTTGGTAAAGTACAGTTTTCTATGTGTATTTGTGCATTTTCTTATTGGCTTCAAAATAATGTTGTTTTGGGCCATTTAGTTAGGGTTCCCTCATATAATTTTTAAGGATGGAGAAACTGAGGTGTGCTGTTGTACATGGGAATGCAAAGTTTAAATGATGTAACTTGTATTATGGTGTCCAAGAACATGTGGTTTGGAGATATGGTGAATTATCTCAATGACACAGACTGGCAGAATATATTTTCTTTTCACACGCCTCCTATAATTTGGGGAAGTAGACCAGACTTCTGATAACACCACTGATGATTAAAACACATTTTCAAAAATGTGTCCACAAACTACCACTTATCAGAATCTAAGAAGAACAGAAATATTTTTGGAATGGTTATAATTATTGAACTGTGCCAAAATAATATTTTTTATTAAGAAATTTTTTATTCATTTTACATACCAGTCACAGATCCCCCTATTCCCTCCTCCCTCCCCTCCAGCCTTCCTCCCCCAACTCACACCCCATTCCCTTCTTCAGGAAGGTAAGGCCTCACATGCGGAGTCAGCAGAGCCTGGTACATTCAGTAGTGGCCTGTCCAAGCCCCTCCCCGTGTCTCAAGGCTGAGCAAGGTGTCCCACCATAAGTAATGGGCTCCAAAAAGGCAGCTCATGCACCAGGGGTGTATCCTGATCCTACTGCCAGTGTGCTGGGGTGGGGGTGGGGGGGGTGGGGGTGGGGGCTTAAGCAGATCAAGCTACAAAACTGTCTCACTTAATCAGAGGACCTAGTCCAGTCCAGTCCAGTGGAGGCTCTAATAGAAAGAGACTTCATGGGGATAGGGAGAAACCCGTTACTAGGGAAGTTCCCAGGAATCCACAAGGATGAGCCCAGCTTAGACTATTAGCAATAGTAGAGAGAGTTCCTGAACTGGCTTACTCCAGTAATCAGATCAGTGAATACCCTAACTGTCATCATAGAAACTTTCTCCAGTAACTGATGGAAGCAGAAGCAGAGATCCACAGCCAAACACCAGGCCAAGCTCCAGGAGTCCAGTCAAAGAGAGAAGAGAGATTCTATGAGCAAGGGGCATCAAGACCATGATGGGAAACCTACAGAGCCTACAGAGACAACCAAACCAAACTAGTGGGAACTTACAAAATTTAGACAAAATTATTTTTAAAACTTTTTTTGTCATTCTTTTGAATGGTCTAACCATGAACCAAAAAATGTTTTTCTTCAGGAATGCTTAAGTTTGGTTAGAAATGAGAGGCCAGGTACAATTTTCATGGATGTGATCCTGCATTTTCAGCCATCACAATACCATTTCAAGAGACTGTAGCATGAACTGGGTGTCAATATCAAAAGTATTTATTCTCCCTCTCCTCCCGTTTGATCTATCTATCTATCTATCTATCTATCTATCTATCTATCTATCTATCTAATCTCTCTCTGCATGCATGCCCATGTGTGACTGTACATGTGTGTGTGTGTGTGTGTGTGTGTGTGTGTGTGTGTGTGTGTGTGTGTGTGTGTGTTATAAATACCTGGGATATTTACAGAAGTGTGAAAATTTTCACACCAGTCACACATACACTGGCCAGAGGTTGACAATGAATATAAAAATCAGTCAATCCCATCTTTATTTATTTTTTTTAGATGTGGTTTCTCACTGAACCTAAATCTCACGGATTTGACAAGACTTGCTGGTCAATAAGCAAAGCTTCAGGGATCTTCCTGTCCTAACAGCTTGATTGCAGGTAAGCATCATTATGACCAATGTTTTACATGAGCATTAGGGTTCTGAACTAAGGTCTTCATCTGTCATGGCAGTCACTGACTGTGCTATATCCTCAGCCACTGTTTCTCGCTCCTATTTAATTAGAACTTCATATCCATTGATGAACTTTTGATATCCACCCTTCTACTCTCCCTGTCTCCCCAGCCCCTGATAGCATTCTGTTATCAGCTTTTGTGACACAAATCTTTCAGAGTTCATACATTAGTGAAATCATGTGACAACTTTTCTTGTTATGTCTTGCTTATTTCACTTAACATAATGATCTGTATGGTTTATGATACAGCTTGAAAGCAGTGTGCTTGTCTTAAATGTACAAAATTCTGGGCTCACTTCCCAAGACTGCTAAAAGGAAAACAGACCCAAATAACAAAAATATAATGAAATTCAGATCTATTCATATTGTGATGAATAGGTAGGATTTCACACTTTGGATAGCAGAATAGTATTTCATCATACATATGAAACTTTTTGTCATAACCTATCAGTACAGTTGATTCTATTTTTCATATACTGTCGTCAGTAATGCAATGGATATGGGATTTCGTAAGACCTTTTTGACATGATTTTCATTTGAAGATAAAGCAGGGGATAGCAAAGAATTACTAAGGCAGTAAGGGTGTGGATCAAGGAGGACTTCACACACTGCTGATAGGCATATGTGGTGGATAACTGCCCCGCAAAAATAGGAAATTACTTATAATATCCTATAGAGACTTACTGCTTGACACAATGTTTCTAGACATTACTCAAGAGATATGAGAACCAAAGATGTCAGGAGTTCTTGGAGCTCTGATAATATCCAGTACTTAGTACAACTCAAATGTCTAATAATAGAGGGGCAGATTTAAAAAGTTGCTCATTGAGATAATAGAACATTATTTCCAAAGAAGAAAATACTATCAGTTGATATATGCATGAACCACAACAGCAAATATGAAAATATATCTCTAATGAAGAAAGTAAGACACAGAATGTCATTATATATATATATGTATATACATATATATTTAATATAATACATTATAAAATATAATGTAATAAGTATAAAAATTATATAAAATATAATAAATATATATCTGAAATTCTAAAACAGGCAAAATGGTAATGACAGGAAGAAGATGGATATTCTCCAGGGACATATACAAACATTCCAGGATTTTGTAAGGGGTTATGTAGCATATATTTTGTCATAATTCATTTACCTGTCTACTTAATATGTACATATTTGCATGAAAAAGTGCATCTTTGGAAAGAAAGAAAATACTAGCGTTGCATTTTATATTTATTCAGTAAGGAATAAGACAGTAAGTAGAAGAGGACTATAGTACAATCTGGAACAACATAGCTTGTTTACTATAACCCTTTCTGAATTCAGTGATAGCATGTAGGGTATATTGTAAAGTCAAAATATTTCAAGACTAAAATTATTTTGACTTTTTCATGTTTAAATGGAGAATGTAAAAATACTTTGCTTCATTTTATACATAATTAAAGGCTTAAAGGCAACACCACTCTGTAAGGCCACATCTGAAGCTGCATCAATAATATACCAATGACAATGTCAAGTGCAAGATTTTTAAAATACTTTGAATGATTTATATGACTGTGATAGGATTCAAACACTCAGGTTCTTTGAGACCAGAGAAAGCTCCTGATCTTCATTTGTTAAAAAATCACGTTGGCCCAAGAGATAGCTCAGTCCCTAAAAGAATTTACTGCACAAATGATGATCTGAATTAGATCCCACTACCCATGGCAGTAGGAGAGGACTCATTTATGGCAGTTGACCTCTGACTTCACTCTTACATCACACATATGCACGCACACACACACGCAGGCACGCACATCTCCTAACAACAATAATGATACATCAAAAGTACACATGTTTCTTTACAGCAAGAAAAAAGAAATATGAAAAGGTAACATTTATTAGGTAGTTTGTGATACTAATGATATAAAATATGCTGATGTTTCTTAATATTTTTTTTTCTGTCAAACAAATCTTTACCACAGATCTCCAATCTAGAGGGAGTTTTGGTTAAAGCAAATCTGTACTAGAAAAGAGTATACCAATTAATGATTCAGTGACAAATGATCAGCTCTGGAAGCATATAAGCAATGGCATTCTACTGATTGTTATATGCAAATTATGACAATTAGTGAAAAATTGCTGGCCGTGAATTTGAAGGAGAGTGGGAAGGGCTACGGGAAGGTTTGGGGGTAGGAAAGAGAGCAGAGAAAGGATGTAATTATATTAATCTCAAAAACTAAAAAACAATTTAAAAGAGCTGAAAACTCACTAAATACTTGCCTTAATAAAGAAGAATAGTTCAGCTCTGAAAAGTATTCACTTTTATCTCTAAGTGATCTCCACTGAGATTAGTGTTCTATAGAAAAAATATGATATAATAAAATCTGAAGCATGAGGCATATGAGCCAACAATGCCCATTCTGATGAAGAAAATTTACTAGATGTGTCAGAGTGCTGCATCGACAATAGAGAGGACAAGCTATTAAAATGCTTGAAGAACACAGCTAGCAAGACTCAGCAACTATCTGAGGCAGAAACTTCTCCTAACGGGGCACCACTTAATCAATCAAACTTGGCTTTTTATGTGATATAGGCAGACAGGTAACTAAAAATAGTAATAGAATTGTCAGTGGCTTCCAGAAGGTTAAATTTTGTTAGAAAAGTTGAGTAAGAATAATAAAATAATAGTAAATGAAATACAAGTCAACTAATGTTCCTCTCATGAGTGGTCTCTTTTATATACACATGGTGTTGGTATAATATATTTGCAATATGATTTAGCTGTTAGAAAATTGCATAACAATGTTAAAAGGAAAAAGGTAATCCTAGAAGAAAATGCAATTCTTATAGAGGTTTTGTGGCAGTTGGTCCCCAGTCAAAGGAGAACTGAGTTGACTCTGAAAATGTGAAAGGTATTAATTACATAATGTGCCTAAGTTCTAACTAGCAAGCAAATCCATAAAGACTGATATTTTCAGGGCTGGGAAGATAACTCATTGTTTAAGAGCATGTTCTGATTTTGCAGAGGACCCCAGTTCTGTTTCCAGCACAGATGTCAGTTAAACAAATCCTCCTGTTACTCATCCAAGGGATCTAGTAGCCTCTGGCCTTTGCAGGCACCAGAACACCTGAGCACATAGACACACATATATCCCTAATTAAAAATAAAATACATAATTGAAATGATTAATATTTCCAAACCCTCTTTCCTTCAGTAGTATTTTCCATGTATTGTTATAAACATGGACTTTTTCTTAGGTTTCTAGTTTCTTTATATTAGCCATGTAAATTGTGTTATAGAGCATGCTGCTCTGATAGAGAACAGGAACATACCACACAGAGCAGTAGAACTATTTATAATAAACCTATGATGTCATGGGCAAATCAGGTTGGAGGTCAACAGAACCCAAACCCTTGTAGACATTATAAACATCCCAGGGCATTCAACTAATCAGCTCTTTGAAAACATTTGGATGTGTATCTTGTTTCAAGCCGTTTTATTTTCGATTCTACTCACTTATTCAAAAACCCCCAAATCAAAAATTGCTACACTGAGCCATTGAAGACCCTATAAAAAAAGAAAATGTACTTCATTTGCCCAAAGTTAAATTTGTTCTTCTTCATTCCCTCAAACACAACAGAATCTAATTCAAAAAAATGGGATTTACCCATCATGATATGTAACTTCTTCAGGCCTATAATTATATTGCTTCATTTCTCCAGAATTTTGTTCACTCCCATTTCTAATTTTATTAACACAGAATTAATTTTTATTATACTAATATTATGTAATAATTAATATGATTTTTAACATAGAATTAAAAAGATAAGCTTTTTATCTATTTAATTTGTTTAATTTTCTTATGTCCTGCTGTTTCTGACATGAACAAACCAGAATGAATATGCTTACTCACTTGAACTTCATTTCCAGCTTTCATATTATTTTATATGTTTTGTTTTCCAAATGTATATGAAATGAGTTGACTTTCAGTCAATGTTACAACCTTTTTGACAACTTTGGATTTCATATCATGTATTATCAGTTACATGGCTACATTTAATTGTAATTTGTTACATGTGAGGAAACTTAAATTGTGAGCCATCTTATTGTTTTTATTTTCTGAAGAAGTAGAGAAGTGTTTTTGATGCTGGCATCAAGGAGCTAATTAGAACAATTAAGAGGTGTTGCTCTCCATTGACAGTGAGGTAGTTTCCCAGTATGATGCAGCAGATAAATATCAAGGAATGCAGCCAAAAAGGATCATCTTAATCTTAACTTCAGTGTCATCATTGCTAAGTGATGAGTCATAACCATTGGGAGAAAACTACTCAGCATTTGGAGCATGTAAATCGGCACTGATGTAGACAGCCCACTGATGTAGTCCTCTTTGTTTCTATTCAAAATTTTCTATTACCTTAAATTCTTCTATAACCTCTATTGATGTTTAATGTGTGTGCATTTCCTTAAGGACAAAGGTATAGAATCTTATTAAATTTTTGTTACTTTGATTCAATTATAGGTACTGTTGTCTACTCCTTTCTTATTTAAAAACGAATGGTGACTATGAATCTTTATTTGTAATAATTATGTTTACTTTTTACATGTGGTGTGTGTGTGTGTGTGTGTGTGTGTGTGTGTGTGTGTGTGTGTGTGTGTATGTTTATCAGTATGTGCACATGTACGCAGATGCCTGAGGAGGCCAGAAGAGAGAGCTGGAGCCCTGAAACTGGAATTACAGGTAGCCACCTGGTGTCAGTTCTGGAAACTGAACTCTGGTCCTCGGAAACAGAAACAAGCAGTCTTAACTGTTGAGCCATCTCACTAGCCATGACTTCATGAATCTTGTAATCTACTGCAGGTGATATTTCATATGAACACATCCAAATTAAAAAATTAACTAATGCATACAGGGTCTGATCCAGCTGATAGTTGAGCCCTCTCTCCTCCAGGCATGACCTCATGGATTTTATAATCTAGTGCAGGTGATATTTCATATGAACAAATCAAAATTTAAAAATAACGAATACATGCAGGGGTTTGCTTTAGAGTAGCTAAAAAAAATAAATGTTAGCTGTTGCTTTTCTATATTCAGAAGCCAGTGGGACAGAGAAACTTGACTAAAAATATCATAAGCATTAGCTGGAAAGTATAACCTTTTTCTCCAATGCATTATGCTAGAAAGGCGCCTGATATGAGGGCAAATATCGATGCAATGGAGTATTTCTGTTTTTTTCCTATGCAAACAATATACTTGAGCTTTGTTTGGAATAATCAATAGCAAGCAAATTGCTTGACATGAGAAAGTAATGGAAATGTGGAAGTGGAGGACTTTTCTGTAGAAAGGTGAGAAGGGTCTTGGCAGCATGAATCTCCCCCAAAATAATCATTCCTCACACTGGAAATGATGCAGGAAAACTAGGATAATCTATCTCTTGCAGGTAAGCAGACCATAAACTTTTAAAATTGTTTTACTCACTGCCACATGATGGGGAAAGATTAAAAATATGAAACCTTTCATATTAATTACAATTTTGGAAAATTCTCATGAGAGTACTCCATTTTTGTGGTCACAGGCCTCTGGGGAAATGATGCAATTTAAGATTTAGTACGTTAGGATGCAGTACAGAAAAAAAGACTGTAGAGGTCACATGAAATAGAGAAGAGCAAGGATCAATAATTTAGTAGGGACAGAAAACTGTAATAGAAGAAGAGATTTTATCAGAATATATGTGATTTATACCACAGTTTTCAAACAAATACTTAGCAGAAAACTCCAGAGTTGATGGAAAGACAAAAGGGTAGATCAGTGATTAAGAAATAAGTGCTTTAGGGAATGGGGCTCTATCACATCTTCTTATGGAGTAGAGGATAACCAAGAAGTCTTTGTGAAACATGAGAGATGAAAACAAATATTTGGGCTAGAATATGACATGACTTCCAAGAGACTCACACAGAGCTCGATGTAAATACACATAGGGAAGAAACAATCTGAACTATGTATTCATGGAATATGTGCTCACTGATTGCTTCCTAAGGGTGCTGATGTAAGCAGCATTTAGTGGAAATATTCCCACATATCCTACTTCTAATCTATGTTTAGAACTCATATTTTTCTCGTGGCCTTCATGTCAATCACTAGAACTTGAACAACTCAAATGTGTGTAAAGTACTTCCTTTCTTATGTGCACATGGATAACAGAGTAATTTACTCCTAATCAACAGGTTCAGATATCAAAATTTAATATTGTAATCCATGAATTGTGTGTGTATTTCATTGCATATTCCTGGTTCTCCATTTTGGATATTATATGTGTAAAAGTGTGTATATGCTTGCCTACGCAGGAGTGTATAGAGGCCAGAGGAGGATGTTAGGATGTCTTTCTCAATTGCTTCTCATTTTATTTGTTTGAGACATGGTCTCTTACTAAACTAGAGTTTGGTATTTTGGCTAGACTTGCTGGTCAATGAGCTCTGGGATCCCCTCGTCTACCCTGACCTCCCAGGGCCGGCATCACAACAATGTACAGCCACATCCAACCTTTCATGTGAGTACTGAGAATCTAATTCAGGTCTCCATGCTTTCACAGTAGGTACTTCACCCACTGAGCCATTTTCTTTGCATTCATTCTGGCTTTAAAACAAACAAACAAACAAACAAACAAACAAAAAAACCCAATTTGATATTTAAGTAAGTCAGAGTTTCTAAGAGGGGCTAAAGGCATTGTTCATGTTGAGCAAAACAGAATACACATAGCCAAGCACACTGAAGATGAGTATATGCAACAGACAGTAATGATTATCTGAGTGTTTTAGAGCTAGGGGCTTTATATCAATCAAGATATCTTTTGCTACTATTTTCCTACTTGTGTATCTACTTAGAGTGTCTTGTGGGATAAAAATCTATAGGGAAAAATCAGTCACCACTAATTGTCTCTGCATATCATAAGTCATTTTATAGTTTTGTAAATTTTTTAGCTCCCATTAATGTCAACCGTTGGGCCATTAACCGATACGTTCTTTACTACGATCCTTCTGGATAAATAGTATTATACATTTCGTATGAAGAAACAGTGGGGCTATGTTACTCATCCAAGTCATTGTAATGTTATAACTAGTATGCATTTTATTTACCATCTAAGACATTGACCCCATTATCTAGTATTATAAACGTATTTTTAGAAGTGATGCTTTGTGTCAGTTTAGTTGAGCCAATGTGTATTTACCATCTGTCACTGCTGTTTGGAATGGTGATACACGTGGAGTTAAGACACTGTCCCCTCACAGTCAGACAGTCCTACTCTTTCTACCAGTCATCTCTATTGCTGCTGAAAGTCTGACTTTGCCAGCCTTGATTTTGGACAGTGAGTTGCTGCTGAGGGTAAAAGTCTGTTTCCTTCTGGGGAGAGAGATGGCTGATGGGACTATGGCAACCTATGTAGGTCTGGAATTGAGTGGGAGCAAAGCAACTTGACCCAAAGGCCACCAACCTATTCTTCCACATGGTCTCTTTCAGTTTACAGTAGTGAAAATGGATATTTCTGTTAAGGGCCCTTAAAATATAAACATACATAATTTATTAGTTAAAATTATGCTGTTCAACAAGAAAAAACAACTCATGAGTGTGTGACCATTATTATTCATCAAAGCATTTAGTATTTGCTAACAATTGTAAACCTTAAATATTTATTTGTACAAAAATATGTGTGTGTCTTTGTTTGTGTTTCTAAATATATTTCTAAAGCTTCTAACATCTTAAAATGTGTATCTCCTTGCCTGGAATCCCCTGCTATATTCTAGCTATATCATATCTGAAATGATATAGGTTATTTAGAAGTAAAGATCCTCAGTCGCTGCTGGATAATTGAAAATAATTATTTTAAACAAAACAAACAGTTCTGCTCACATATATTTGACATTTTGATTCTCAAAGTCTAGCATTCCCTAAGAAATAGACTTAAATCCTACAGCCAGTTGGCTTCCAGCCTCGGTGCATTCATTTAAATTTTAGTAACAATATTGTAACTATGTTATAAAGTTTATAACTCATAGCTTTTTAGTGGAGTCGTATAGAACCAGAAACAGCATCATAATTGTACAGAGGGGACATTAAGTAGGCTGACCGGAGTGAAATCATGTAGAATACCCTCGGTTACACTCTGCAGCTTTAACTGCTTGCCTTAGACTTGCATGACTCAGTGAGGTGACTTTTTTCTCCAGGCAGGTGTAAAATTGACAAAAGTGCACAACAGCTGTGTGGCTACATTGCAAAGACACCAACTTCTGGCCCTGGTGTTTTACAATGCTAAAAAGGCAAACAGGCAACCTTCAGTTCACCTTTGATTTATATGGAAGTTATTACCTACAGCATCTGCCCTTGCAACACCACTGAATTTAATTTCCCCAAATTTCCTGGTAATCATATATATTGACCTTGAGAGAACAGATTTCTTTCATACTTTCCTTAAAAGTAAGGTGATCACCCAATCCCTGAATGTGAAATTATTGTCCTTTTCTCTATGGTGGCCTTTGAAGGTAGCTGGCTAAAGAGTTGGGAAGGTTTTAATGCCTTTACTTGGCATTGATCACTGGGAAAATGGAATTCTAGCATTTTTTCCTTGAGATTTTGTACACTAGACAATCAAATGCAAAAGTTGAACAAAGATAAATGCTCTATTTGTGGGAAGGCTATGTGGAAATGGAAGCTTTTTAATCACTGGAAAGACCTACCATGTCATCCCCTTCATTTCCCCACAAGCATAAGGGTTGCTCCCTCTGGTATAATCTTAATTTTTTTTCCTGTCCAGAACAGACTTAAATGAGACCAGATGTTGGCTGTCCAGTAATATTTGTGTCATTTCTCAGTTGGAAAACTAGCATTCTCTTTTTCTAACTTCACAAAAAATTCCCACTTCTTTCTAAAATAACAACAAAAGGTAAAACTGAATTTAACCAATTTTATTTCAGCACTGTTGCATGCTAACATTAATCATGGTCTTCTGCCAATTAGTAAGATATATGTGACCATTGAGACTACCCTCTACTGCCTTCAATTTTGTAATATGAAAGCTTAGAGGCTGACCAATATTTTATATTATATGAAAATCATGATATGTGTTCATAGTTATTTTATAGAAATCAAGCTGTGAAAGGTTTGACTTGAGTGTTTCTATGTGTAAAGTCATTGTATGGCAAGCCTCATATCCAGCTATCATCTTAGCAGTTATAAGATGCTGTTTCACTAGAGGAGTAGAACCATGAAACCAAAGAGAAAGTCACTGCAAATAGTAAATTCAGTCTAAAATAATGAAAGTGTCAATTGGCAATATGATACAGGTTCTAAACATTTATCTGGTAAGTTTATGTATTGTGCATTGAACACATAATTTATAACCATGCATGAACCAAGTAAATTACATCATTATTTATTGGGAAACAATTTCAAATATTGATTAAGTTTATTTAATTTATATAAATGAGTGCTTTACTTATATGTATATATGTGCACCACATGCATGCCTGGTGGCCACGGAGGTCAAAGGGGCTGTTAGAGCACCCTGAATCCTGGAGCTAGGGATGGTTGTAAACTATCATGTGGGTGCTGAGATTGAATTAGGGTCCTCTGCAAGAACAACACTTGTTTTTAACTGCTGAATCATCTCTCCTCAAATAGTGCTTAAGAGCATGGGTATAAAAGAGAAGCAGATCTGCTCAACAGGGTCAAAGAAGTATCTAAACAATATTCAAAACTATATAGGAAGAAATTATGGTAGTATTTGGCTAACAAAGTATGTTTAACACAGTGTGCTTTCTTTTCCCCCACAGATGCAAACTTCATGTGGCAAATAACAGATGATTCATTTCTTGTCGTTCTAGAGGCAGGAAACCCAAGAGCAATCTGGTGGTTGGTTTGGTGTCTGCTGGGGCTTCTGTCTTTGTCTTGCAGGTAGCAGTTACTTGCCAAGTCTTTATGAACTCTTACTTTTTGGTGGGTCCATTTCTGGTGCCTTTGTTTATCCTCAGTTTCATCTTCTTGCAAGGTATCAGTTATATAGATCCCAAAATAAGGACCTTATTTAGATCTTTAGAGGCCTGCCTGCTAAATACCATCACATTCTAAGCATCTAGGGGTGAGGAATTCAGTGTATGGATTTTGGGAGGCCATGATCCGTATATAACCCTGCCATGAATCCAGGCTGAAGTGAGGCATGCCAATTGGTTTTGGAATAATAGATGCCTCCTTTGACCTGTGCTTTGTAAGTCCCAGAAACTAGAAACTTCCCTGTGAGGTTTTCAATGGATTAATGAAATACTGAAATGACTAAGGTTGCCTTGAATTAACTGGGATTGATTTCTGCTGTGTAAAAACATACCTATTTACTGAAGCTATACAGAAACAGAAAAGTGGCTTTTCTCTGGTTTACCCCCAGTGACCTGAGATAATACCAGCTACTTATACACTGTGTGCAGTGCCTGCACACCCTAGAGTACTGAGCCATAAATAACTGAAGGAAATTCAGGTTAATTGAACAAAATCAATTTATTGAAAAGTTTCAAGGAACTTGGAATTTATGGAAAGCTGTACAGAGAAGAGAGAAGCAAAAAATTCCAGAGAGAAGAAGCAGAGATGGGGGCAAAAGAGCAGACTTACAGTTGAAAGAACTTGGAAAAGATTCTGAGAATACGATCCAGGTAAATGCAAATACAAGGACTCAAGTCTCTGTATTACTCGTGCATCATTTGCAGAAACCTTTCCTGAGGAGTCTAGAATGGAAAGGAAGGTACTGACATTTGACTCTGTGCTAGATGATTTTCCTGTGAAGTTTCCTCAACCAGATACCATACACAACGGAGCCGAAATGACTATTCTGTGGAATCCACCAATATCATTTGAAAGGGGAAAGGAACAGAGAAGCCAAAATGGGACAGCACTCACCGTGCTGGCCCATTAAAAACATCCAGTTGAACAGCTGTTGCTGATTTTCCAATAATTACCAGTTATGTTTCAGACCAAATGAAAATTACCCAGGAGGCTGAGGAAAGGAAAGGTCAACATTGCCTAGGATAGTTGGATATGGTTTGGTAGCAGATGGCAGATGTGCGAAGACCTTGAAAGATGCCTAGGATCTGAATCATCAGATCAGGAGAAATAGCATGATACAGGGAGGGTAGCATGGCTGCATGGACATGCACATGAGAATGATGGATATAGAGAGGGGAAATGCAAACTCCTTCTGGCAAGTTCCACCAGATCAGTGAAGGTATTTCCAGGGGGAACTGCATAGAAAAACTCGTACGTTTCCGCAAGGAGGATTTTGATTTATTAGCCAAAAGAAAGTCACTGAAGGTTTTTTAGCCGTCATTTCCCAGTGGCCCAACATCTCCTTTGTTTGAAATTTCGAGACAGCCCAGCAGAAGTTGTTCAGGGGCCTGGGAACCTCAGCTGTCATCAATTTTGCTTTTAGCTACTGTTAATAGGTTTTCTTATACCTAACATTTTTTTCCTTTGAAAATCTTACTTCCTTTTTTATTTTTTTCCCAATTTTAAAATAATATTGTGTCTCCTATTTTTCTTAATTTAAAGTGACTTGAAAGATAGTTTACCTTATCATATCATAGAGTAAATTTATTTTGAGTTTTTTCTAAATAAGGTTTTTCTATTGTATGTAGTGGTTTTGCTATAAAACAGAAACAACACAAATAAGAATAATTTAGTTGGAATTTTCATGTCAGTGGGGACATATCAGCCCTTTAAGACTGCCACAAAACACTGATTCATGTAATTTTTATGCTGTGTATTTTTTTTGCAATTTTATCATTTTATCTTTAAGTATTTATTTTCAAATATACCTTACTTTATAGAAAGTTTCTTGTGAATATGTTTACAGTGTATGCATACATGTCCTATATGCACATGTGTACCTGTGCATGCAGAGGGTAGAAGAGGGTGTCAGATGACCTGTTCTGTTTCTCCCAACCTTATTCTATTAAGGGAAGGTCTTTAACGGAACCTTGGGACTCAATGTTTCTGCCTAGATTGGCAGATAACAAACCCCAGTACTCTTCCTGATTCTGTCCAACAGTTCCAGGGTTACAGGTGGGCATCTGACCACACTTGGCATCCCAAAACAGGCCCCCAGGCCTGTTTCACAAGTGTGCTTATTCACAGGGCCAATTCTCCAGTGTTTACAGAAATTATGAGGGTTTATTTATGTACACAGATTTTGATATATATGGTTAATTGTGCTCATGTGGAACTCAATAAAGATCTATGAATTTTAAGTTTAAGACAGATTCACTCTTGCCATTTTTGGAAAAATAATCAAAGCAACTCAACAATGACTTTTATAACTCCTACCCTCTCCCTATATTCCACCTTTCACTCTGCACATATTCTTAGTGGATCTCACTAGACTGCAGTAATCATTCTCATAAAACCATTATTGACTCAAATGCTATTTTATCAAAAATACATTCAAATTGCATTATGGATGAGATGGTTCATCTCTATTGAGTAGAAGATCTTGACTCTTGTACACCTTAAATTTAAAAAATACTGTTATAAGAGAGGTCTATGATCATTGTGAAGTTACCATGTTATCACCAAGCCCTTATATCAGTAAACAGTAGAATTCAATAGTTCTCCCAGGTTCCTTGAACTTTCCCACCCACACATTGTTACATATCCAATAATCGATACTAGTTTGCATGCTCTACTTTTTGTTTCATTCATGAGGATTGCCTCTTTTTTGAAGCATTAATTTCAATTTTAAGTGAAACATAAACATATAAAACCTATACATACTAATGGATCAAGTTCCATAAAGACCGATGATGCACTCGGCATGATACCAGTACCACATTGCTGTGACATTACCACGTGGACCTTACCTTTCTGTCTGTGTACTCTTTGAGGGAAATCAGGAAAGGCTCACCAACACCCTTCCCAACACACATAGATTTTAGTTATATTAGGATTTTGTCAATCTTACCTGCAGTTTTTGCAGTATATCACTTAATTTCCTAATCCCCAGTAGATTATGTAGAAATTTCTAACCCAAGTTTTTTTTTACATATTTTGCAAATCAATGAAGTATATATAATTACTACATTCTTTTTGAATACTTACAACCAACATCTTATTTATTATATTAGGAACACACATTTCTTAAGAGTACATTATTTTCAAAAATTGTACAGCTTAGAAAGTTTCAGCTCCATTGATTTCTATAGCTCTCTTGTGTACCACACAATTAAAAAATAACTTTAAGCAAGTGGCAAATTGTCATTAAGATGTTACAGTAAGCATTTTTCTTTAAAATCAAGGCCTTTGATAATTTTTTATATATTTTTAAGTTTTGGACTTCTCCCTTTCCTATTACGTATAAGACCATTTGACTAAATCTACCCTTATTCTCCCTATCAAAATGAAAATAAAAGAGTCAGTTCAAATGCAACCGAAAGGAGGATAATTTAGCGTTTTTATAATTCCACAGTTTCAGTAAATGGACTGAACAATGTGACAGTTTTCTTAAGATACAGCTCACATAATCAGTATGAGAAATAGTTGATTTAATTTTAAATAGGAATGTGCAATTATATTACAGAAACGAGGAAGAGAAAAAATTAAAAGCTTCAGTAGTCTAGCCACACCATGTAATTTCCCCTACATACAATATATGTAACAATTATTGAAAAATTCATTGAAAATATTGATGCTGTTGCTCTGCATCACCAGAATGGAATTTACAAGCCAAACTATTCTGTTGCGTATTATAAGAAGTACAACCCTTCTGATCACCAGTTGTTTCTCTGAGTACTTGTTTTAGTCAGAAAGCTCAGAAATACAACAAAGCATTCTTTCCATCTTAGATCCAACTATGACCTGTCTGCAAGGTGTTCTTGGCCACCAACCTACTCCCTTGCCCTATCATTTCCTGGCTACTGTTTAAAATTGCCTCCAATTCAAATAACACAATGGAGTCAGTCAATAACCATCAAGAATTCAGAGGATAGAAACTGTTAGTTTTGGTTGAAGTGACTGTGTCAGTGGCCATTGTTATTATTACCATGAAGTCAGGGGGAAAATGTTACAATGATAATAGATTTTAATGAATGTTGTCAAAGATGCAAGCCAGCTAGCCAGCCAGAAAAAAAGTCAATAACTATTTGGATTTTACCAAAGATCCTTTAAAAAGTTGTATGGAAACCTACTACTGTAGATTCCATATATATGGAGATATATATAAAATGGAGGTATCCAACAATGCAGGTGACAATACCTCTACAAGACATCACAAGCTAACAAATAAAAAGCCCAGTTCTAGGAATTTGTTCCTTCCTTTGGTGTTTTAAGCCAGTGAGTTACAATAGACCACCAAATGTTATAGGCTATTTTCAATGTATGACCCTATTGATGAAGACACCACATACATGAGTTATAGAACATGAATATAGCATGATGGTACTGACCTGGAAGCTTCATCCCTACTGGCTAGCTTTTATAGTTCTGCAAGGTGTTAAGCATGTTCCCTGAGGATAAAAACAATCATCAATCTTGCAGAACTGTGAACCCTACGAGCAAGAGCAATAACTGATCTGGCAACACATCATGGGGGATAAACAACCATTTTCTGTTTGTATTTAAGGCCCATTCTACAAGATAAAACTCATATCTGACAACATTATCAAGCCAAGAACCTGTGGCTAGATAGGTCATATGCTTTAAGGGAGACCTACCTATTTTGCTAAAAGGATATAGTAGGGAACCAATTTCTAAAGACTTACTGTTATAGGCATAGGTTAATGCATCTCTCAACCTACATCAGAGAGGCTTCTATTTGCAACTGATGATGATTAACAAATAGTCTCTCACCATGTAAAAATGAAAAATACAAGAGAATGAAGACTGCTCAGGTCTAATTGTAACGTATGTACCATACCTCCTCCTCTAATAGTTCGGGGATTATTATGGAGCAGGGGACAGAAAGAACCTAAGAGCCAGAGGTTATAGGTAACTATAAATAAACAGTGTTTTCTGTACACAGGAGGGCAGCAGCACACATGAATGCAGAGCTATTGTAATAACATACAAGGAATTGTGCCAGATCAAAACAGACCAAATCCTGGCATAGAGAAGTCAGGATGATATTAAGCCCTGCTTCGAGCTATTGACAATTGATGGCTGTTTGGATGAGGAGAGTCAGTTTGCTTGAGGAGTGTAGTCCCTGATAAGTCAGCCATACCCCAGCAGAAGGCCACATATAAAATATTTTAAAAACAGCATAAATCGGACATGATAAGTGAAAATAAATTGGACACAAAATTATGTAGGTAGGGATGCTGATGGGCAGATTTGGAAGGACTTTCGAGAGGTGGTTAAGATTATCAAAACACATCAAATTAAATTCTCAAAGAAACTAAATATGAAAAATGAGTCTATTATATGTTTAAAAATAGGTAAAGGCTGTAGATAAAATACATTTAACCATGACAGAATATTTGATATTGTGTTCACCTACTTTGGTACACAGGTGTCCCTGATACAATGTTAACTTTAAGTTGATTGTGGCTTTTGTAAACTTGAATTTGTATCTATACATCTTTAGAGAGGACATACAGTTTATTATATATATATACATTTATATATTATATATAATTAAATTATAAATAATTAAAATATGTATTGCATATGTATGTTTATATATAAATTATATAGGTATATGTGTGTATATAAACATGTCTATATCTATCTATCTATCTATCTATCTATCTATCTATCTATCTATCTATCTATCTATCTGTCTATCTATTGTTGGGACCAGCCAACCTGTCGACAGCACCTGACTAGGGGAGAGAGGATTAAGAAGAGACAAGACAGGAGAGATTTGGAGGACTGTCAGTGAATACTGCAGCCCTGAATTTATTTCTCATGACTTATATACAGAAAGTAAGGAGGCAAAAGGTCCTCCTTATCTTAAGGACACCATGGTTCAAGGAACAGACAAATGTAAATACCTCCTTAATTCTCAGGACATCTGGTAACCAACACCTTTGGCAAAACATCCTGTTATTGAGACCTGAGTAGCAAAAACAAGCTTGAACTCTCTGACCCTAAGTCAAGATGGAATCAAGCCACAAGATGTAGTCACTGTGGGCTCCCAAAATCAATCAGTATATATATATATACACATGTATGTATATGTGTGTGTGTGTGTGTGTGTGTGTGTGTGTGTGTGTGTTTGGGAGAGAGAGAGAGAGAGAGAGAGAGAGAGAGAGAGAGAGAGAGAGAGAGAGAGAGAGAACCCGTAATTTTTAAGAGAAATGGGTATAATCCCTACTTTCCCTGCTGTAGAAGCTGAGGTAGGATAGAGCTTATTTTCTACTTTTACTTTCTCTTTGATGGTTGCATAAAACAGGAATGATGTACTAGCTATAATTGGCTATTCTTTGAGAAGATGAGTGCATCAAAATCACATATTTAGCATGCATTGATAGATTGCCTCTCATTAATTTTTAATTATCATGTACATTACTTGGTATGAGTATTTTTTAGCAACACTATATATATTTTCCAGACTCTACTACTGAATCTACTTGAGTGCCAAGTTTATTTTCAATATGCCATTATGCCTGCCATATGAGGATTATAATAAGAGTAATAAATAGACAGTGAATCATGGTATCAACCGGTAGCTCTCATTTACTGAGTTCTCCCATTATTGCAGGCATAGTATCAAAGACCTCCTATAAGATAGCCATTGTCCATAGTTTTTATGTGGGAAAACAAAGGTACATAGAGTGAATTAATTGATTAAGTTAGATTTTGTTAAAGAGAAGATTCTGTTACCAGGAAAAAGAAAAGAAAAAGCATTAAGAAGTCATATCTTTGGAATGAGATGCACTCTCATTCCGTAATTTTGTAATTAGTAGGCCACAGCAGTAGTCTGAGCATATCTTCCTTTTTTTTTTTTTTTACTTAATTTAAAACTTTGAGAGCTTTTGCTTCTGTTTTTATCCTTATTGCCCATGAACCTCTCATTCATGCTAATACACGGGTAAAGAATAATTGCAGTGGTTAATATATCTCTTATTCCCTTGATCTAAGAGGATTACTTTTGTATAAGAGAATGTGTGAGTCAGGGGCTCTTTCTCCAAGTGGGAAATCACTAAGGGTGGAACTATGAAGAGATTTCATAGTGTATGCTTTATGATAATTTATAACATTTGCACAAATGCATATTCTCCATGGTAGAGCAATTACACAGGTAGTGGATCTCGTATCTGAGAACATAGCATATATGGCCTGCAGCTTTTCATGTGCACTTGATTTCTCTTGATTTATTAATGATAATTTCTGGTTTAAGTGATTCTTCTTGCTACATATTTCCTTGAGTCTCATTGTGGACGAACCTTAGTCTAACAGTTCCTATACTCAGATTTTCTCATGATACCTCTAAATTCTACTTTGTTTAGCACAGGGTATCTTCTGTTTTGTAACCAATGGTGATAGTATCTTTAAACAGCACGGAAAAATAAGATTGGAAGCAGAAGCACACTAAAGGACACCAAGAAACTGGTTAACAATGAATAAAATCACAGGAAAAACTAAAACCAATTAACTCTCTATTCCTGCAGGCGGTTTGAAACACATTCTGACATTTCCAGAAGCAAAAAAACAACTTCTCTCCAAAGCTGTATCAGACACTATACTAACGGAAACACCGTGGTTCTTCAAGTGACAGGTAATTACTTACAATGATATTAAAATTTTAAAATGATACTTAAAATGGAAATGAATATAGGACTACAAAGCCACTACTGCTCTCAGTTTATAAATTTACTTATCTTTGTAATTTAACGACATAATATTATTTTCACCAATGAATGTTAAAAAGTTCTCCTCCTAGTTGCCATGAAATTTGCTTTTAATTATGGCTGTGTTTGGAAGTTTCTTCACTGGGGGAAAATGAAAGCCAGGTTGGCTTTAGGTAACTGTGGCATGCTCACGAGGACACTGCATAAATCACAAGAGCTTACATATTACAGCAGGAAATAATCTGTTACTGTTAGTCCTATCCTATTACGAGGGCAGGTGAAACAGGTATGACTATTTTAATAATGAATACTGTTGCAATTGTGAAAGTAGCTTAGCCTCTGTAAGTCCCAAACAAAGGCAAACACAAACACAATGGGTAAAGATTTGCACAATCTGAGACTCCGTGGTCAATAGACAGACTAGTATTTCTCCCTTCTGAACATCTATACCTACAAAATAATTCTCTTTGTGCAGTAAGTCTGTCTGGGAAAGAGGACATCCATTTAACATCCGCCCTCTTATTTTATGGTAAATTGGAATAACCAAAAGGAGTTTTAAATTTATCTTATATATAACAAGGTTGTCAATACATTCAAAATAACTGACAACTTTTGTTAGTCACTGTAGTTTGAAAAAAAAAGTATTAAACCAACTGAAAGCACTTTCCTTCTCATTGCAAGGGTCCACAGTTATGATGACTATAAAATATGTAAATAGTTCCTCAAAACTTCAGAGCTGACTACTTCTCCTACAATGTTCAAATCATTACAAATAGTGAAAGTGTATTTTAAAATGAAAAGACTTCATTGTCACAAATCATTGTTGAGTAAGGATGGGTGACAGGAAGTATGTGATAAGCTCCAGTAAAAGAAGCTAGCTCCCCATAGTAGACCAACTTCAGTTGTACTTGTATTTGAGTAGTAGTGATGTGGAGTAATTTGGTTCTTGGATCCTCAATGATTCTTTTTAATGTGTAAAATGAGGAGAAGTAAATTGACACTCAGGAGATAATCAGAGAAATAACACATCTGTATGACTGCTGACCATTTGAACTTGGGTATTCATGTCCAGGTAAAAGAGAATGGCATAGAAAAAAATTACAGCTACAAATTTTATTTTCCTCACTTCCTTTTTTGTCTCTGGAAAACACTTCATTCCCTGAAGGAAGAGTAATAGTTTAGGCTGTAAAGAGATAGAAACAAAAATGAAAGCAAAATATACACTGGGATGAAATTATACAAAAATGATTGAAAGTCTCAAAAAAAGGTGTTTTCATGATGTCATTGTTTTTTACCACTGAGTAATACTCCATTGTGTAAATGTACGACATTTTCTCTATCCCTTCTTCAGTTGAGGGGCATCTAGGTTGTTTCCAAGTTCTGGCTATTATGGATAACACTGCTATGAACATAGTTAAGAAAATGTCCTTGTGAAATAGATGGAACTAGAAAAAAAAAATCCCGAGTGAGGTAACCCAGACCCAGAAAGACAAACACGGTATGTACTCACTCATAAGTGGATATTAGACATAAAGCAAAAGATAACTAGGCTACAATCCACAACCCCAGAGAAGCTAGGTAACAAGGAGGACCCTAAAAGAGATATGCATGGATCTCCCTAGGAAGGGGAAATAGATAAGAGATCCTGAGTAAATTGGGAGCCTGAGGGCCAGGAAGAGAACATGAGGGAACAATGGGATGGTCCCTGAGGAGAAACAGAGAGGGAGAGCAAGGAAAGAGATTCTTGATAGAGGGAGCCATTATGGGATTAGGGAGAAATCTAATGCTAGGGAAATTCCCAGGAATCCACAAGGATGACCCCAGTTAAGACTTCAAGCAGTAGTCGAGAGAGTGCCTGAACTGGTGTTTGTTCCCCTGTAATCAAATTGATGTCTAATCAAATTGTCATCATAGAACCTTCATCCAGTAACTGATGGAAGCAGATGCAGAGAGCCACAGCCAAGCACTAGGCAGAGCTCCCAGAGTCCAGTCAAAGAGTGAGAAGAAATGAGCAAAGATCATGATGGAGAAACCCACGGAGACAGCCGACCAGAGGTAGTGGGAGTTCATGGACTGTGGACTGACCACTGGGAACCTGCATGGGACCGAACTGGGTCCTCTGAATGTGGGTGACAGTTGTTTGCCTTGAACAGTTTGTGGGGCCACTGACAGTGGGACCAGGATTTATCCCTAGTGTATGTACTGGCTTTTTGGAGTATCCCTTCCTATGGTGGGATACTTTGCTCAGCCTTGATACAGGGGAGAGTGGCTTGGTGCTGCCTCAACTTGATATGCCAGACTTTGTGGACTCCCCATGGGAGGCCTTACCCTCTCTGAGGAATGGATGAATTGTGGGGTGGGGGGGGGAGGTGGAGGTTTAGCGGGAGAAGGGGAGGGAGGGGGAACTGGTTGGTATATAAAATGAAAACTAAAATTAAAAAACAGTGTTTTCCTTTTTATCCTTTGAAAGCCTTTTCTTTTGTTAAGGTTCTCAGTATAACACCTTTTCTTATTCCTGGAGAGGCTGTCATCCTCTTTTCTTGGGATTTTGTTTTCAAGTTTGCATGAAAACCTGAAATTAAGAATGAATATTCCAGTTTATGTTTTGGTGTTTAATTTCTTTAGTAAAGACATACAAGATACCCAGGGTAGTGGTGCATGTGTTCCATCCCAGCACTTGAAAGGTTGAAGCAGGAGGACTTATGAGTTCAAAGCCAGCCTGGTTTACACCATGAGTTTCAGAACATCCAGGGCTACATAGAAAGACTCTGTCTCAAAACAGCACCAAAACCAAATAATAAGTAATAATAATAAAAATAAGAGCTATAAACATTTTCAGTTTAAAAGATTAAAAAACTGTAATTGAAATTCAAAATAGTTTAGTGGTTGGGGATACGGATTCTATGCAAAGAAAATCAAACACATATGTTTTAAGAATCAGAGGACTTAACAGCTCGTGAACAGCAACAAAACCTCAATGACTAGGTAGGTTATTGGCCAATTGACAATAAAACCAGGTCTACTTCTAAGAGTTCTTTTTGTCTGCCTATCTTTCCTGACATTTTAGCTATAAGACACCATCCTTGTGATCAGAATGTTGCCATTTTTTTCTAGCATACTCAGTTTGAGAACAGTGATCATTGTTATCAGTTGTACAAATACCCTAGTTTTGCTTGTTGATGAACTCTTCTCTATGTCCACAGTGATGCACTGGGTATACTTCAGGACTGAAGCAGATAGAACAATGATGAAAAAAAACTATGTGTAAAAGTATGATGGGAAAATAGGGTGGATGTACCCTTGGATCTGAAAATTAAATAAACCGTCATGAACACAATAACTTATGGGAACAACTTAAGAGAGGAAAAGATTTTTGTCTCACAATTTCGGAAGATTTTAGTCAATCATAGGAGAAGACTCGTGGTGACAGGATCATGCAGTGGAGACTGTTCACATCATGACTAACGGTGAAGCAAAGAGACTGACAATAACAAAGACTAGGAATGTATTTCAAAGGCCCATCTGCAGTGACCAAATTCCTCCATCTCGAGTCCGCCTTTGGACTTTCCACATCCTCCAAAATTAGCACCACCCACTGAGGAACAGTTGTTCTGACAAATGGGTCCATGAGGAACATTTCCTAGTCATTACAATGATGTGGAGAAGAGATGGCCATGTGGTTGTTGGTAAGGTAGCTCTGGTTATCATTCAGCCAGTAAATATTGTTCAAGTTCTCCCCTAGCAAATGTGAGACCAAACACAGATTCTATGCCATCATAGCAGTAGAAATAAGTTATAAACAATCTTTTTTCATTTTCATGCTTGAAAGATAAGAACAATAAGGCTCAAAATGAAGATGGACTTGGAAGCTTGGCTAAATCTAGCTATCTCTTTTCCCATTGTGGACACAATGAATATATCTCTTTTCTGCTTTAAAAAAAAACCACTTAATTTCCACAAGAGAGTTTATTACATCTGGATTAGACTTCATGCCAATAATAGTAGTCCAAATAGCTTTCTCCTAGATACCGTTTATTCACTCACTCTATCCCTAGGTTCATCTGTTGGAAATTGTCTGTTTTCATAGTTCACTACAAATATGCTTTTGCCTATGAAGACTTTTTTAAAAATTCTCTTAGTCAAACAATTCCCTTCCCATGATCATGATACTATGGTAACATTTTATATCTGTCTGACTCACCTCCTTTTTTTTATTTAATCTTTTTCCCTTATCTCTCCCACTGGAGTTTAATTTACTTCAGCAACATGGCTGTGGCTAGTTAGTTCATTATTATATTTTTCCACCTAAGATCAGCTTTAGCCTGCTTATTTACATTTCAATACATGGATAAATGAATAAATTAATAATTTTTGGCAGTGTTTTGGCTTAGGAAATGGCATTTGAAGTCTTTCTTCGTAGTACATAATTTGTCTCCTAGAACAGAGTCATGTTAATGGTCTTGAAATATGAGCTAACTTTAGCCTGGCTTTGCCTTTAATGGCCTAAGTGAAGTGAAGGAAGTTTGTCCTTGTCTTTGTTTTGGTCATATTTGTTTTTCTCTTTAATTTGATTTTGTACTGAATTTCACACATGTGTACTGTATTTGAACTATTTCTACCCCCTCTCTTCCTGTTCAGCTTTTCTGATGTTCACCCATTCCGTCTCAAATTCATGACTTCTTTAGTTACTGCTATTGGTGTGTGTGTGTGTGTGTGTGTGTGTGTGTGTGTGTGCATGTGTGTGTGTGTTTGTATCTTTCTGACTCAATTTAGTGCTGCTTATATGTAGATGTGTTCACAGCTGATCACTTGGGATTGAACAGCCTTCCAGGAAGCACCTCTCTGAAGAAAATAGATTCTCTCGCTCAGCAGTGATTGATTGTATTGATTGCCTATAGTGCCTCATCTAAGGTGGGGGCCTTTTGATATTTCCTCTATCCACATTAGCAACTGGAGTTTTCCTAATGTAGGATGTGTTCAGGAAACTGTATTTTTGAGATTTCATTGCTGTATCTTCCCTCTAATGTAGAGAAGAAAAATCATCTTTCAGCAGAAATCTTAGTACCCTTGCTCTGGCAATCTTTCCACACCCTCTTCTGTAACATTCTCAGAGTATCAGGGGTAGGGGTTGCTTTACAGATGGACCACCCCATTGTCACTTACTCTTTATATTTTATCCAGCAGTGGATCTCTGTAGTATTCTCCATCTGTTGTACCAAGAAGCTTTTTTCTTTTTGTTTACTTCCCAGAACTTAAGGTAAGACCCAGTTGCTGAACATACCACAGTCTTTAGGCACAGGACTTAGTGGAATCAAACTGATAATGACCTGGAAAACTCTTCCCCAAGAACTAGCTCTCACGGAGTAGGAAAGAGCTATGCAAGCTTCCATGAGCAAAAAAAAAAATTCATAATCTTCACCCAACTATAAAGCCTATAAATCATAAAAATGACTGTCAAGACACAATATCCCATATCGTTACCACTGTTGATTTCATATGAAGGATAAACAACAGCTATCTAATTGTCTAATTGTAACTAAGGCCCACTCAATAAGAGGAATTCCATGCCAGGTATTGAAAATCTAGCAAACCAATTAGCGAGAATGAGGAGGGTTTATATGAGCTAGAATTGTTGAGACCAAGGTTGGATAAAGCACAGGGACAAATAGCCAAATGAATGGAAACACATGAACTATGAACCAATGGCTGAGGGGTCACCAACTGGATCAGGCCCTCTGAGTGGGTGAGACAGTTGATTGGCCTGATCTGTTTGGGAGGCATCCAGGCAGTGGGACCGGGTCCTGTGTTCATTGCATGAGTTGGCTGTTTGAAACCTGGGGCCTATGCAGGATTGCTTGGCTCGGCCTGGGAGGAGGGGACTGGACCTGCCTGGACTGAGTCTACCAGGTTGATCTCAGTTTGTGGGGAAGGCTTTGCCCTGGAGGAGATGGGAATGGGGGGGGGGGGGCTGTGGGGAAGGTGAGGGGGACGGGAGGGGGGAGAACAAGGGAATCCGTGGCTGATATGTAGAACTGATTTGTATTGTAAAATAAAATTAAATTAAATTAAAAAAATAGTTATTAATGGCAAAAAAGGGAAGATTCTTTTACTTACTTTCTTTGTTCAACAAATGGTGTTTTCCTTGCTTTTACAAAGTTCTTTTTGCAGCTTCAGTTTTTCCAGTAGTCTCCATGAGGCTGGAAAACCGTTTCACAGATATCCCCAAACCTATCGAAATGTAAATTGGTTGAAGTCCAGTCTCCTTAGTAATCATTTGAGATAAATTTATATCAAGAGCTCTCTCAAAGGTATGTGAATTTTGTAAGTGCTTGTGTGATAGAAGTTTTAGAATTCTTAATTGAACATGATGTTTCAAATTGGACGATAAGTTCACTGTGTGACATTTAAGTACAGGATGTTCCTGTTTCTTCCTTTACATAGTTCCCTTTCCATTGCCCGTTCATAAGGTCATCCTAGTCTTTATTATGCCATGGTTCATTACACAGTATCCTTTGAAATTGCATCATCGTGGAAAGAGAGGAAACTAAGATAACTTGGCAGGCAACCCTCTAAGGGAACATACATCTTTGGACCTATTGTAACATCAGTCTTCTTTGGAAGATGTAAAATTATTGATGAAGATTTAAGGGAGAGAATCTAAATTCACTAAATTAAATTCAAAACATAAATATCGGCCGGGCGGTGGTGGTGCACGCCTTTAATCCCAGCACTCGGGAGGCAGAGGCCGGCGAATCTCTGTGAGTTCGAGGCCAGCCTGGGCTACCAAGTGAGTTCCAGGAGAGGCGCAAAGCTACACAGAGAAACCCTGTCTCGAAAAACCAAAAAAAAAAAAAAAAAAAAAAAAAAAAACCATAAATATCACTGTCTAAAAGCCACAATGGTAATAATACAGACTCTTGTAGGTAAGGTACTATAAGATCACATGTTGAAAAGTTCAAGGGGTGGAATCTGCCTAAAGGAGATTGAGACACTGGGATGGATCCATCTGTCTCATTATTACATTATGATTGGTTTGGGTAGGAAACAAATCTCTAATTAAAAATAATATAGTTAAAATTTGTCAGTTTATCTTTATTATGTTAGTACTACCTATCAAAAAGAGTATCAAGTTATATGAAAATAGTATTCTAAAGCAATTTTCACTTTGCTTATGGAGTCTATGTCTTTATATGATTGAGAATAAATTATTTCATGAATAGTCAATTAAATAAAAATATTTCTTATACTCTCTCGTATATTATTTATATTTTCACTTAGTTTTCCCAAAAATTTGTCAGAAAATATATAAATAGCTTC